TGACTCCCGAAACAACCGACGATGGCGTAAAGTGAGCAGATTTAGAGATTGCAAGAGCGGAACGTGCGTTAAATCATCGACGCTTTTTTTTCTCAAAAAAAGAACATAGAGCAAGTGCTGAGACAGTGCAACCAAAGATGGAAAATTCGGATAAAGATAATAATATTTATTATCCTTGTTAAAGAAAACTCGATACAATGAACCATTTTTAATTTTCAATCTGATCGTGATAATAACATTAATAAAATTATTTAATACTCTGATAATATATAACAGATTAATTAATTATTTCTACAAATTGTAAACAAATTACGTTATAAACGTTATAAAATAAGAAAGATCGAGAAATTAGAGAAGTGTACTCGCTCAGGTGCGGATCGGGAATGGATTCCAAATAACATTAAATACAATCTGTTCGGCGGATGACAATCGCGTTTCTCGGAAATAGACATCTCATCGCAACCGCGCGCGCCGGAGTTTATTGCCGGACGAGATCTTCTGTCCGCGTACGCTACAATTTAAGTTATCCAGAGTTCTCTCTCGCAGCGCGCGCCGCGCCGACCGGAGAAAACACAAAGGGGTGTCCATTTGCCATCTGATAATAATTGGAAAAGTTATCGTCGGGATGGAGTTTTGTCCGCAACTAACATTTTCCCTCGAAACTATTCCGGCCGATGTAAAATGGAGAAACTTTCGCATCAAGGAATAACTTCCGCCGCTTTTGAATGATATTACTTCTTTCCGCCCGCAAATTCCCAGGAAGTGCCTCCGCGGCTTCTCGGCGGGACTTAAACGCGCCCAGTGATTTGTCTGGGCGGAAAGGGGAGAATCTTCCAGCCCGCCGTCGTGTATACCGAGGCGCGTTATTTGAGAAGGGAAACTTGTTGTGTTCGTGAAATATATAGAATATTTAATCTGCCGGATGGTGGTTTCGCTCGGCGGTTTCGCCTCCGAAAACCTTGTGCCGCCTCGTTCGAATAGCTTTGATAGCGCCGTCGCGCCGCCTCGAGGAATAAGGTACTTTTCGAGAGCGGAACCACGGATCTCCAAAGTGTTAAATGATAACAATCGCTGGGCGAATTTGCGTCGAGGATCAGAAAGATGGCGAGACATTCGGTTCTTCGCGGAGTCACATTAAGCTCGATCTGCGATAAAGACTTCACGAGCGGCGTCCGCAGAGCGGGATTTATATCCTGGAAATTGCAATTTTAACTTTAATGCCGAGTTCTTTCGCGAATTCTCGAGCAATTTTTCTTTAGGAAAGATTGCAAAATATCACCAGTTTTTTAATATCCAACATTAAACGGTTTTTCGTAATTAAAATTCCGAATTAAAATTGTATCGAAAGAAAATTTATTTGAGCTTAAATGGAAAAAAAGATTGTTATTTAGAATTGCGTCTAGAAAATTTTGTGGAAAATCTTTTATTTTCAATCACTTGAGATCAATATTCTTATTATAGTCAAGGAAAAAATATCTAAGCGCATCCTATTATTATCATCATTATAATTATGCAAGAAAGTATGATATGACACGTGTTTACGATATATAAATAGCCCTTATCGAGAGTTGTTTATTATGGTTGCAAACGGAAGAAAAAAATGAGCGAAACTGTGACTTTTAATTTTAACCGCCTCAGCGAAAAATGTTTTAATTAATTCGTAGTTTGCAGTTGAATTGTTCGCAAGCCCATCGTTCAGTACCTTTTCAGTCGAATCATTGGTGACGATCACGTAATCCTGTCTTGAGGGAAAAGAAAGGTAAAATAAAAATTTTCTCGCGAATGTGCCAAAACGGTGACTACGTAACTTTTTTTTTAGTGCCGAGCAATGATGTTTGATTGGCTGAAATTCACGTGAGATTTGAAAGGCTGAAATGCGAAAATTGAGAAAGTTCACTGATGATCGCGTGATTGACTCCGTGAGACAGATGTGTGCCATCGACAGAACTCGGATCACTTGCGAAGCGTGAGCAACTCGTAGAGCGTGCTTGGAGATTTTATAGAAAGTTGAATTATCCTTCAATCTTTCCCTCAATCCAGGAAATCCCTCAACGAAAGGAAAATTCGATAGAAAAATCTTCGCTCTCGATACATCTTTGCGGAAATGGATGTTGTTATTTTACAATAACAGAAGAAATGTATGGAAATCCTTATCATTAGCTGCTGGTAAATTTAAGTTTTAAAGAGAACCGCTCTTCGAAGTCGCCGTTAATTTTCGATACATTTGCGGGAACGGAAAATCGACAGATACGCCGAAGCTTATGCGCCGAGCACGGCACATCGCGACGCTTTCATTACCCGGCCAAATCGAATTTCGCGAGGATTGTGTTACTTTGCCGCCTCGCGGCTCCGCTATTTCCATTTTGGTCAACTATCCACGAATATAATGCTGTAGCGGTATCCCGAATATACGGTTCGTTTATTGCTACTTGACGCTGGCTTGGCAAGAAGAAAACGAGATTGCAACGATGCGTAAGTGATTTGCTAGAAGAAAAAAAAAGAGAAAACAAATCGAAACAAACATGCACGTTGCCAGGGTAAAACTAGAATAAAATGGCACTTGACAACTACTGGTGCCGGTTTGCGAAAATTCCAAATAACTGCAATGAATAATGTTTCAAGAAAGTGCAAGAAGCGTCATGTTTGTTTTTCATTGTTATTTGAATTTTATAAAATTTATAAATTTGTTTACTGTTTTGAATGTATTTCTCGATTTAACATCCTTTGTATCTTGAGATATCGTTGCTTTAAGAATAATATACACACACACACACACACACACACACACACACACACACACACACACACACACACACACACACACACACACACACACACACACACACACACACACACACACACACACACACTATAAT